GCAGTCCTTTCAGAACTTGGGCTGGAATACCGTAGCTTTAAATAAAGCAGAGGAACTTGTTATCCTACACTTCCGTTTTGAATGAAGTTCTTTGGACCAAGACGGCATGCATGATCCTAAACTGAGGTCCACCTTTGAGAAGAAGGACACTTCTAAGCAGACACCACTGACCATTTCGGTCAGTGAAGGAGCTCTGTTGGACCAGGCCTGTGTGGACAAGTGGCAAGGAGCTTTTCTGTAAAAGGGAGGAGAGAAATGGAGTAGTAACTAAAGGGAGGAAAGTTAAAGGATTAAGAGAGAGGTTTTTGTTTTTTAAAAATACACTTCTTTTTTTCAAAGACTTACTTTATTTAACTTTATTTTATTTGTTTAATTTGACCAGAGAGGGATAGAGTAAGCAAAACAGAGAGAGAAAGTGGGAAAGCAAGCCACCAGGTCCAGGACTCAAATCACAGTCAGCAGACACCACCCTGCCGGTGTGAGTCCAGTGTAGTTCGGGGGCTGAGAGGTGTGCTCCCTACCAATTCAGGTCGTGATGTGAGGCGAGGCCAGGGTGGTACGTGAACCGAGGCTGGGAGGGTGCCAGCAGGTACCTGAGGACTTTTGGGTACCAAGAGGCTGGGCCGGGGTTACAGACAGTGAAAGGGACAAAGACCGCCCTTGGAGTTGGACTAGCCCAGCTTCAGATCCGGGTAGTGCCTCTTGCCAGATGTGTGACTTGGCTCGCATTACCTCACACACCCGAACTTTGTTCCTCACAGTACAGGTGGGCGCGAGAACACCCACCTCGGGGGGGGTGAGGCTGAGCTAAAACAAGCTGCCATATTGGAACCAGCAGATGGCGTAATGGCTACGTTGCTGGACTCCCATGTAGTTGACTACAGTTCGAGTCCCAGACCCGGTGGCTTAGACTCACACCGGGCGTGTGTGCGTGCGTGCCCAAGATCCCGAGAGGAGAATGGAGGAGAAGGGATTGCAGCGTGGCCATCCACCCTGGGGGGTGATTTCTGTCTCTCTGTCTCTCTCTGTCTTCCTGGCGAGCACACGTGCCCTATAGTGAAAATCTCTCCAAAAGAAGGAATTATTTTATTTAACTTGATTTATTTATTTTAATTTGACCAGAGAGAGAGAGAGAGTGAGAAAGCAAGCCACTAGGTCTAAGACTCAAACCGCGGTCAGCCACGTGCAAGTCCTGTGCCCTTAACCACCAGGCCACCTACCAGGCCCTTAAATTATTCTTTTATCTTTCATCTCTCAAGGACTGTTGCTAGCTTGTACTTTGTTTAGCTTAATTTGGATTTCTACATGTACTTAAGCATCAAGGAACTACTTAAATGAGTGTATTATCGTGTATATTTTTTCTCAGACATTTGTACTTGCCGCCTTCTGTGGGCAGGCAATCCACATGTCTGAACTTTTACTCCTTCGTGAGAAATGTACCGGTCGCTGCTCAGCAAGGACTCATTTAGCAGCTAGCACACACCACTCTTGTGGCTACTTGGCATAAAGCATTGAGCTAAACAAAACTTCTGCCTTTTAGGAGCCTGTGCTGACAGCAAAATGACAGTACACATATGAATAAGCCATTTTGTAGTATATTAAAGATGGAAGTGCTTGGGGGGAAGAAAAAACAGTAAAGGAAAATCTACGGTGAGAATGGGAGTTTGAGATCAGTATTTTTTTGGAGAGGTTTTTGTTACAGGGAACATGTATTGCCAGAAATACAGAGAGAAAAAGACAGAAAAATCACCCCCCAGGGAGGATGGCCACACCACAAGCCCTTCTCCTCCATTCTCCTCTCGGGATCTTGGGCACGCACGCACACGTGCCTGATGTGAGTTTAAGCCACCAGGTCTGGGACTCAAATCGCAGTCGACTACATGGGAGTCCAGCGATGTAGCCATTACGCCAGCTGCTGGTCCCATCAGATGATGTTTTAAATAGGATGCTCAGGGTAGGCATCACTGAGCAGGTGGTCTCTGAGCAGACTGGAAGGAGGGAAAGGAGTGAGCTGCACAGATATATTGGAAGGGTGTTCTCGCAGAGGGAACAACCAGTGCGAAGGCCCTGGGGAACAAGTGGGTATGACCCGGAGAGAAGGAGGGGTCAGGTCAGATAGGACCTTTAGCTTACTTTAAGAGCTGGCTTCTATCTGGGTGAGATGGGAGTCATGGAGAGTGTGGAGCAGGGAAGGGCCATATCTGAACTTCTTAAAGGGCTACTCTGAAGTCTGTGTTGAGGACAGACTGGAGAGGGGGATCAGGTAGGAGGCTGCCATTAATCTAGACAAGGAGGTGGGACATCCCTGCCTGTGGAAGGGGTCGGGTCCTGCCTGGATTTTGAAGGTAAGGCCAAGCGGATGTCCCAAAAGCTCTCTTTTCCTCTTCTTTTTTTCTTTTTTGTTTTAGTTTTAGTTTTTGTTTTTTTGCCATAGGATGCATGCACTCACCAGAGAGAGGCAGAGAAAGTGAGGACTCCCGCCCCGGGGATGGCCACGCTGCAATCTCTTTTCCATTCTCCTCTTGGGATTTTGGTCATACACACACACACATACCCAGCATGATTTCAAGCTGCCAGGTCTGAAGCCCCAACCATGGTCACCCATATGAGAATCCAGCACCTTAACCCCCACATGACCCACTGGCACCTCTTTCTCTCTTTTTCTTTTTCTTTCTTTCTTTTTTTTTTTTTTTTTTTTTTTTTAAATTTGTTATAGGATACACTCGAGAGAGACAGAGAGAGAGAGGAAGACAAAGACAGAGAAAGTGAAGGAGCACCCCCCCGGGGAGGGTGACCACACCACCTTCCCTTCTCTATTCCTGCCTCAGGATTCTGGGCACGCACACACATGTGCCTGGTGTGATGTTCAGACAGCCAGGTCCAGAACTCGAACCACAGAGCTGGCCATGTGGAATCCAGTTGGCTTAACCACTGGGCCACCGGCTGGCCCTGTGCACAGACTGAATGTGGGCTGGCAGAGAAAGCAGAGAGCAGAGCTGGCTGCAGAGTGTCCTGGTTGGACCACGGGAGGGTGGCGTTGCCATCCCCTGTGAGGGGAGCTGTGAGAAGAGCTGTTGATGCGCAGGGACGGTGAGTCCTAGGTGCCAGCCTGACGCCAGGTAGATACTGAGGGGACAGCTGGCTCCACGAGCCGGGAGTTCAGGAGAGGCGAGGACGGAGGTGTGCTGTAGGAGCTGCTGGTATTGGAGGCCAGGGACTAGCCACAGCCGCCCCTCTGGCAGTGGTCCCAGGGCCGGCTTCTCGGCACCTCTGACTGCCACCTCCATGCCTAATACCTCAGAGGGCACTTAGAGCACGGTTGAAATGAGTGCCTGGCAACTTGAAGGCAGAATGCTTACTGCAGAGAAGGGCTGGGGTTGGAGTGGGAGGGTGGATCAGGCTGGAGTCAAACACCCACCACAGGCCTGGCCGTGTCCAGTACCTGGTCCAGCATGAGCTAGGTTGGCTTCAAGAGTGTCTCTATTAGGTCCCTAGTGGCTTTAGGTCCCCTCGTGGTTCCAGCAGATTGGTTATTCGGGGAGGGGTAACAGGCTCCACGGGAACCGGGGTCTTTGGGAAGAATGCAGATAGGGTGCGGAGTAGAATGTCGGAGCCAGCCAGCTTCTGCAGGCCCATTCAGCCCGAGGCTGCTGTCTGTGCTGAGGGCAGCCATCTCCCGTGGGAAACTCGGTGTTGGTTTCATGCCGGCTCCTGTCCCGCTGTCTGTCTGGCGGGCCCTCTCTCTCCATTGAGGTTAGTGAGGGCTTCTTGCCTCAAGCTGCAGAACTGGAATCTCAGTGGCTTCCTCTCCCGTGGAACTCTTTGGCCGGCCACCAGGGGGCACAGCACCACCTGCTCTGGTCACTACTTCCCAGTGAAGTTTGTGTTGTGATTTCCTCGCCCCACCCCTACATCCCCTGCAGCTTGGGCTCATTTTAAAGATTTAAATTTTTTTTTTAATTTCAGCATATTACCTTTTTTCTATGTCTGTACACAACTGTGATTTTTTTTTTTTTTGGAGAGATTTTCGCTATAGGGAGCGTGCGCTCGCCAGACAGACAGAGAGACATAGAGACAGAAAGTGAGAAATAACCCCCAGGGGGGATGGTCACGCCGCAATCCCTTCTCCTCCATTCTCCGCTCGGGATCTTGGGCACGCACGCACATGCGCCCAGCGTGAGTTTTAAGCCACCGGGTCCGGGACACGAACCGTGGTCAACTACGTGGGAGTCCAGCGACATAGCCATTACGCTAACTGCTGGTTCCCACAACTGTGATTTTTTTAAAAATGTCATTGGGATTATACTGAATTAAAGAAAACTCATGAACTTTTCTCTCAAATCGCACTTTTTCTCAAAAAATAAACAGTAAACTCCCTCACCCACAGTTCCCAGGCAGGCGTTGTTGATCACATGCTCATGTTGGTCCCTGCAGGTTGTGCTCTGTCTCAGTGGGTTTGAGAAGCTTCTAGAATGTGCTGGAATGTGATCGTTGCAAGTACTGGAAGCTTGAAAATGTGATTAGGTTAGCCTTGGTCTAGGACATAGATGCCCTGTGCAAATGATTGTCTGGCCCTGCACCTCTCAGTCCTGCGGGCCCTTCGGGGCCACTTCCCCTGGGCTTCCTTCCTGAAGCGTATAAACTTTACTCCCTGACTCTCTGTCCTACCCATGTCTCTGTCTTTGTCTTCCTAACTCGTGTCCCTCCCCACCCAGATCTTTATCTTCCCAACTCACGTCCCTAGCTTGTCAAGGGATTTAAGGCCTTGTCCCCTGTGCCCTGTGCCCTGTCGCGTCAGAGCTCCCAACCTCTCTTGCTTCTCATAGCCAGACACTGCCTGGGCTTCATTTCTTCCGGGGCAGGCATAGGAACATTTGAAAGAAGTGGTTCAGAGGCTTCTAATTTCTTCAGTAAAGGGTTGCTAATAGTAGTTTTCATCTGATTTCAGTCGCTTGCCTTATGCCGTTGGTGTTTTTCTTTATCTTGGCTTTTGTTCAAAGGACGATTCTGGAGCCGAGAAGGAGAACACCTCTGTCCTACAGCAGAACCCCTCCTTGTCAGGAAGCCGGAATGGAGAAGAGAATGTCATCGATAACCCCTATCTGCGACCTGTGAAGAAACCCAAGATCCGCAGGAAGAAGTGAGTTGGAGGCTGGGGTCCGGGTAGATTCTCTGGGCAACCTAGGTGGCCTTCTCTGCTCCTCAGCCGGGCTCAGCAGTGGGTGTGCACCTAGGGTGAAACCGCTGTGGTGAGAGGAAGCATCTTCCCTCCGCCTCTCCTTAGTTGCTGGGCTTCCCTCTCGTCCCTTAGCGGTTCCCCGCCACCTAGAGACCGAACCTCCCACCCCTGGAGCCATTCTCCCTGGAAGGAGGCTCCTCTAGGCAGGCTCCATGGTTCTCCTTCTTCTAGGTCCCTCTCATGAGCAAGCAAGAAGCCTGGTT